GTTTTCAATTCTATCTACCTAGTGACTTAAGAACAAAATGCAATTTATAGAACTTGTTTACTTGTCTTTATAGCTATAGCTAAGTGTGTTACTTCTACCTCAAACAATCGATATAAAACTGGTCTCCATTTGTCGCTGAGAGAAACAATATCCTACGTATCTCAAATTATCTAGTCCGAGGGACAAAATAAAATGCATACTGTTTACCATTTTATTCGACTATTGTGTACGTACCGCCCAATTTGTAACTTGTTTACACTCAACGAATCTATCAAAAATAGGTCTCTAGACCTCTCTGATAGTAGTAGTATCCTCCTGTCTCAGTCTCAGATAATCTAGTCCGCAAGACAAATTACCCGAAAGGTCCACCTCACCACGGTTGAGCAAATAGCTAAATAATAGCAGTCCCTCACCAGGTGGACTGAAGTCATTATTCTTGCGGTAATCCGGCGAATATACTAAGATTTATAACGGCCCTACAGACGGACAAATTTACGTGTTTTATAAAAAATGGAGCTTAGTTTCTTGAGTCGTAAATAATGTTAGAAAATCCACGGTTGCTACTGAATGGGTTTTGTGTGTGAGTAGAAAAAGAGGGATGTGTGGTAATGTCAAAATCTTTTCGTATAAGAATTTGTACGATTATTTTGCTAGTGCTGTCCCAGTATCCTTTCCAGCTTTATGGTCATTATATAGAGGCCCTTACAAACAGATTCTGATTAAGGAATCATCGACATAGTCCAACGCCAATCGACAAAGCTCTGCACTAATAGATTTAAAATTTTTGCCGTTCACTAATTAAAACGCGATAAGTGACCAAAGGTCAAATATCCGTTTTAAATAGCAAAGAATGGAGCACAAAATTCCCTTTTACCAACAGTTAAAATTAGTTAACGTATTCGACTTATCGGAACTTACCCTAACGATTCATAGTTGAAATACCATTAAACAATTTCAATATTCTAAACCCATATTTATATGAGATATCAAAAAAAAAATTTTTGCCACTTTTTAACCGGGTTTTAGTTAGCGGACGAAAGAATTGGAAATTACACTTTTCCAATCTAAATCGCTTATTATATGTATTAGGTATGTATTTTGAGGGAACATTAGGTAGGTACTGGGTTCGAATTGTAAAGGTGCTGTTGAAATCATCATGAAAAACCAGTATAAAAGTATTTTTTTTTTCAAACAAACGAACATTTCACGCCCTTTACTGATCAAAGGGTCATGGTTGACACAAACCCAAGATTTAGATCCTTAAAAAAATATCTCAACTTCAAATGTGTAACAATCGCAAAAACCTAAGAACTCGATGGGTTTAAAAATGTTTTGTAATACTTACACGCATTTTCCACTACGCGACTAGTCGCCAACGGCAGTCTTAATTATACCACTGGTTATACTATACCCATTGACGCGGTCGCGACTCTGAATTAAAAAAAGAGACGCGCGCGGCCAGCCTAAATCTAAATAACGGCGACATTTAGCTGCGATGTAAACGCGATGCAGTAGCTAATCATATCTACCTTTACACACGCTCGCGATTGCATCGCTACACTTGGGATTTATAGATGATCGCATCGCCGCAATCGCGCGTTTGTATCGATGCAATCGCTTATAAATGGTAAGTGTAGCGATGCAATCGCGCTTTTGCATAGCTGCCTAAAGTCGCCATGTGTAACCACTCTTAACCAAATAATTAACCACCTTACAGCAAATAGTAAGGACATATTTGTAATTTGTGATTATTAAATTGTTAGTGTTACAACCTGGCGAATAAACATACTGCATTACAAGACAGTAATATTGAAATAAGTTTACGTTAAATGAAATGATTGAACGTTTGATAGTCAGTCGTTGTTCAAGTTACTCCAAGTTTAGGAGTTGTTAGTAAAACTTACCATGAGCCGAAAAAATTCCATTCCTATTTCACTTACTTTTAAATAACTCTCAAAGCAAATAAGGTCGAGAATTTCGCTGCCGGGAATCGAACCCATCCTCGCATGCAAACTTCCTGTTTGGCACGACAGCACGTCTGCTCTCCACAATACCAACTCCACGTTATTCTCTTGGAGATGCTTAATATGCATGTACTTAGATATATAGTTGTTATTGTATGTGCGTACACACATACATATTTAGGTTGTAGTGGTCTATAGACGAGTGTATGTTAATTTAATAAAGTTTATGTTCTTTTCCTTTTAAAGATTAGGCATTATAAATTAAAAATGTCCGAATCCTGAGCTCAAAGTTGTGTTGTGTTGTGTTACAGAAGTGTTCAGTTAGGGTAGGGCTAAAAAAAGACTTAAAAAAAGCAAAGTAAATTTAAGTATACTTACCAACCATCAAATCAAGCGTACATACAAGCGTAAATACAGTATGAATTCCACTGTTATTATTACAATATTTTTCAGACTTTTACTCCTTTTTAGCTGAAGTATGAAAGTTTTTTAAACCGGCATACCTAACCGGTGTCATTCCAAATATTTGGAGAGTTTGCGAATAAAATGCAAGGAAAACAAAACTGTGTGTGCACACTGACAGATTGTCAGTGTGCACACACCCAGTCAGCCAACTAAACAATTCGTAATATGAATTGTGGAATTGACGAGTTACTACATTGCTTTAGTTTGAGATAACTGCAAGTCGGGTACACACCGCTCTTTCATAGCTACTTTTAGTTTATCATTAAAAGCATTAAAAGAAAACTTGTTAAATTTCGCCGTTAATTAACTTTCGCAAACACACACGATGAACATATCGGTCACAGTTAAAACACATATTTATTGAATTATGACACTATCTGACAACAATTTATATATATTTATTATATGAACAAAGCAAGAAATCATTTAAAAACCAATTACTTTACAAATAATGTCACACGGAGTCACAACAAACGTCAAATATGGCGATTAAAGTTCAAAATTAGGAAAAAAAGATGATATAACAGGACGTGCCGAAATTACATATTAATAGCAAAACAGAACAACTATCACATTTCAAACACTACTTCGCGCAAGCTCAGTGATAGTGCAGCCAGCCATCGTGTACCACGTAATATCGTCGTAGAAAGACTGCCGCTGATATCAAGTACTAATTAGCTTGCTTGTTTTGTTTGTACGTCTTCAAGCATCTGTATAGTCGGCACGTATTGGAGTCCTCAGACAGTATTACATAATCATTCCATGAGAGTGTGAATTTTGTACTTAAACATTGCCCCTCATTCTGTAGCCGTAACAACGTTGTAGCGCGCAATTTAATCGCCGCACACCGCGGTATAATTGCTTTGAGAAAGTATCAAGTGTTGAGTAGTACAAATATAAATGAAGTATTAATCGGAGAATATTATAGTATTCGGCATTATGAATGTTACGTTTTGCTAGGGTAGGCAGTGCCTATATGCTTTGTATAAACTTCAGTGGCGTGCACTGAAGGTTAGACAAGGTGGGTTAGTTGGTTACTCAATGGTGCTAATGCCCCGACTTTATGTAGATAATAATAGATAATAACTACGTCAAGATAAAGATTAAAAAAATATTGGAAACGCCTGAGGCTGTCCTTTGGAGACCTGTTCTTTTAACGACTTTGGTGGCCCAACGGTTTGTACTGTGGGCGCTAGATGAGGAGGTACCGGATTCTATTTCCGGTAGGGCCACTTTGAGAAATTAACTTTCCCAATTTGGTTCTGATCTGGGTGTTTTGAGAAGCACGCCGGAGTAAATTCCGTTACTCTGGTACTGATAGTTTGAGACCAGGAAAATGATGGCGTAGTTTTTCCGGGTCATTATTATTATTACTAGGTACTGCGTCAAAACATAAGAATTGGAGGAAAATAAAAGCAAGTTTACAGTAACAGAATTTTATTTAATGCAGATCGATCTCGCACTATAGCCGATATTGTACAAAAAATCATAATATCGCTTCATCCATAAAATGATGACAGGTATATGTATAATATTACACAACTTTGCACACAATACAATCATGAAACGCAAACATTAAATCATTTTCTACGCTAAAATCCCTTGAGTTTTAAGTATTTTCTCTTCATGTTTACGCTAATTAATAATAATTATTTTACATTAAAGTAGATTGGGCCTACCTAGTGTTTACGTAAGACAAATGCTTGTTAAAGACAAAATTTACGTATTACATTCATGAGCACGTTTCGTATAAATAAATAAACAGAAATTATTTATGTACGAATACTTTATTACTTAATTTCTGCATAAAACCGAAAATACTGTGAAATATTAAAAACAAGTGTACTGATTTTGTATCCCAAAACAACAAAACATTAAAAAGTTATTATAAATATAATATGTAAAGTACCCATAGTATTTACAATATGTAACAAAATAATGAGACATGAAAAGTTAGATGGAGATTCTTTCCAACAAAAACGGCAAATATAAATTAATTATTATGTATTTTATAGCCTTGCAGGACGCCGATGCCACTTATAAAATAATAGATAAAAAAGGAACTCTCAGAGGTAATTAGATCATGAAACACAAAAAATGAATTTGGCACTCTTTTGACCGTTTATAAACAAAATAGGAAAGAATCTCTACTAAATCTTCCAACTGTCCAACTACAATATACAGAAGAAAAAATTACGTATATAGGTATTTATAGGAATCCAAAAATATTAACGTTACAGTATCTTAAAATAAATTACATTATATTATGCTTAATTTTATAATATTTAGCTATTCGTATACTGGGCACAACTAGTTTTGATTCTTGTCATTTTAAAAACTGACTACAGGTAAACTATTTTTCTAAGAATAAGTTATGTTATATACTAATTGAATGGAATATTTTTTTCATACTAAAGCCTTTGTAGTTACGTATTTAGGATATCTGACATGACACATCGTTATACCTTTTACATAACATTTAAAATGTTTTTAATTTTGTAAAAATTAAACGCAATCCTGTGATAGTATATTGATATTTGTGTAAATAAGCATTCTAGTTTATTTATTTCATTGTGTTAAATTGATTTATTTCATACCTGAAGTAGATATAATTTACAGCAATTTATAAGCATTTCTATAAATACATCTATGCGATAAAGTTAGGTTTTGAATGCGTCATGTCACCACAAAACAAGCTCAAAAGAAGCTAAAGTCTGTTACAATATCACTATTTGTTAAAAAGACGTATACAGACGTTGTACATCAGATTCCGTTACAAATAGGTAAGCACTAGTGTTAATATTTACACGAACAACACGCCTCCTGTGAGGATAGTCCAGGTTTATCAAGTTTACACCAAACGTTAAAAGATTTACTGTTCGAAATAGATGGTATAATTCTGTTGCGTGGTCTATTGAGAGATTTTTATCTGTTTATTAGTACAACACGGTAATGTAGACTACATTGTTTTGATAGACGCTTTTACACCCAGATAATGGTTGTTTTCCATCATCATCACAGAAAACGTGTTTGAGTATTTTGAAATTTGTAATAAGCCCCCCTCCCCATTCGTCTTTAAGAACGTACGTTGCAGACGGCACATAAAGTTCCTTTCGCAATTCGATTACTGACTTTTTCGAAGCCTAAGGGCATGCTTTCATGAAATTGTATTCTTGAGAAATATCCACATCGAGCTATTAGGTTCGTATCGATTCAACTCGGCATTTTGGCAGATAAAATGCGATTTCGAGTGAGCGATAGTGGGGTACAATTCGCACGATAAATAAAAATACAATTCCATTTGAAGCTCGGCGTTGCGGAGCGGCGGCCGTGTCCCGTGTACCTCAGCAGGCGTTCAAGATTTATACAGGGAGATGCGGAACAATATATCACGGCAAACGCGGGAACTCGACCTATTCCTAGCGTGGAACAGCCACTGTGCCGATGGAACGTGATAGCAGATCAGCTAGTGTGATACCGACAATCTCGCTACTAACACCATGTCCTCATCGAACGTCTACCTCTTACTAACTTTGACTCGCTTCAACAGCGCAGACGTGCTTCTCATTTCACAATCGTTTACGTAATATATCGACAGAAGCTGATTAATATTAAGCGATAGGGCTATTTAATATAGTCTCTGATAATGTATTCATACATAAGTCAAGCTAAGCGATAAATAAGCGGACACGAAACCGCGTATTTTTCATCCGAGCTTCATATAATTTATAGTCGACGATGATATCGCGACTGGTTCTTTTATTTGTGAAATAGTGATACGCGGAGTGTGCTCGGTAAGCGTTACTAACGGGAAATTTTGACAATAAATCTTCGGCAGTCGATTGCCTAAGCGTTCATGTGGGCTGGCTCAAAAATTTATTCGACAGTCGAGTTTGATATCTTGATCTTGTGAGTCAAACCGTTTCGGGGCAAGTGGGGAACAAGTGACGATCGAAACTAAAGACATACGTTTTTTCCCAACAATGGGAATGCTTACTTCTTATAAAATTTGGAGCGCGCTAACTTACGTAAAATTCTTAGCCTACCAAAGCATCGAGAACGCTTTACACGCGACGACCACCTGAAACAAAAGTAAAAGCGAAATTAATCAAAATGCCAATTATAAAAATCAAAATAATGCATTTTCGGATCAGAACAAAGCATTTGGGGTGCTTTAATGTATCATGTCACAAAAATCAGCTTTCCGGTTTGGTGATAATGATATTCAAAAGCAACTGTTTATATAGCGATATGTTAATTTTATCAAAAAATTTATTTAAACAATCGAGGCAATCAAGACTAATAGACATATATCAGATCTTTCGTAATGTATTCTAGGAAAAATAATGCTTTATGATCACGTTGTGCGTTCCCATAAACCAGGGCGACTATAAATGCAAATAATTTCGTGTGAGCCCCATGGGCATGTTAAAACAAACTCAGCATTCTAACAGCTTTTTCATTATTTATCGCTTACGCTCATGCACGGAACGGATATTTTTTCATTTAAAGTTAATTTCAAGCTTAATGTGTATTTGATAAAAGGCTGTATCTCCAACTGGCAGACTCCGAGCCGGGCTGAAATTAAGATGTAACATGATGCGAGAACGAGCAAGAGCTGCTAGATTTATTGCTATACCACTTTGCATATGCTGATTTACAAAGACGGCGGATAAAATATAGAGCAAAGAAAACTGTGACAGCAAAAACAAAGCTGTGTCATTTTTTTTTTGATAATATGGAAAAGTGTCTCGAATAATGTAAACTTTTATATAAGGTAGATTAAGTAGCTATTATTTTATTTTTGTTACAGAAACAAAATTGAGGTCACTTTACGACAGTAAACAATAAAGGATTCGGCATTTGCATTTTGAAGATGTATGTGACTCTAAAGTCTTAAAAGCTATTAATGAGACGACCGCTTTCCTCTCCGAAATACCTAGCCATCAATCGGTAGCAATTTTTCTTGTTTGTATTACATAAAACTTACAATTTTATATTGGAGAGGATTCTCGATTTAGCAGAGAATATAAATAGTAGTCGATAATCTACTGCACAGTTTGGGAATTTAAAGGACTGTTGTTGAAAAGAGTGAGGTGACTATCCCGCCATCATGTCTTATAAATTATACATCAATGATAGTACAATTACAAGATTATTTAGTAACACTGCTATTTTTTTTCAGAGTGGTGTTACAACTCTATAAAGCTTCCACATTGCTGATGCGGTCCATTCGCGCGGGCGCGAACGGCACGACTGTCTGGCGAACGCCGTTCGTAGTCAGCAGAAAGGAACACATAACAAAGTTGCCAGCTAGCTTCGCTTACGCTTAGCTCATACTGCTCTTGCAGAATCATTTTTGGATATTGTATATTGATGACGATGTCGATAATTGATTTCCGTATTGTAGGGTTTTGTATTATTTATGCTAACGTTGAGGGTATGTTACGTACTTATGTTCCAAGCTGTGATTTTTGTTACGTACGATTCATATTGTCTTTTATTCGATTTACATGTTTTAAAGATAATAAGGACGTTTGAAATGAACAATGGAGTAAATAGATACTGCCTTAATTATCAAATAGGAAATTGTCACTGAAATACAATGGTAAGAAAACTGCATGGTCCAGTTAAACGTTAAGCCAAGCACGTAGGTAGTATTTCAAGAAGTCAAAGAGCAAAAAGCCTTCCCAGCCACGGAAAGTAATAAAGAAGAAGGACGCCAACCGAATAATTGATACGATTATGCGTTACTACTGCAAGGGGGGTGTAAGGGTGCTCACACATCTAGTTGTTGAAGGAAATGCTGGAGAACTTTAGGTTATAGTTTAAACTTTTCTGATAAAGATTTGTTTTAGGGTTGAAAACTCAGTACGGCCAATAAAGGAAACATGTTTTTTTTTTAATCCGTTCCGAGTAATAAGTGCAGTCATATATTTTTCTTAATTCAGAAATTCCACTTGAAATAGACTTGAAATAAAATAGGAATACGATCTTTATTTATTTACTTTTATTTGGAACATCACGGAAGGCTGTTGTGTCAGACACGTTTGAAGTAATGATGACTGAAACAAAATTATCACAAACACTGAATAAAATTAACATAACTATTCTATTTGTACGGGCAATGACCTTACAATTAACAAGTTGCGTACTACAGACTGTTGTGCTTGTGTAATTTTGTTAAAGTTTCTTACAATATTACAATATTTTGTTTGACTTAATTTATAATTGATATAATTACATTGATATTTCTGTACCAGAAGATATGTGAATAAAGCACGGTATTTTGAGCGTATGTATATTACAATAATTATGTATCCAGTCCTATTTCCGTTAGTCCAGTCTGCACGCAGCACCAAGAACAATGGAAGAAGGGTGGCAGGCGCTCCGTCAAGTGAGAGCGACCATAAATCGTATAGGACGAGCAATTTGTTGAATTACAGCATGCGCCAGCCAGCCACCGGCCCGACGCGAAATTAGCTCCCACTGAGATAAATTGACGGCAGCCCGCTAAATAAATTATTTGGGAAAACCGAGAAAAAACGGGCGTCTTCCCTTGATAAGGGTTGCGAGCATTCCACCGTGGAAATAATGAATATCGACCACGAGGATACGTACTTACTCATTATGTTTGTCCTATATGTACTTGTAACAATGAACAATATGCTCAAAGTACGAATTGATCGAAAACTCCAAAAGATTATGTATTACTTATATTTTCTAATTTCAAGAAAACTTTCACAAATTGCCATAGAAATAAAACAACTTTGGAAACTTTTTCTTCTCGGTTATTGAAATAAAATGAAATTGAGAATGAACTTTATTGTCTGTTTGTTCGGGGCTTTCCACGTCCAAAAATTTTACGAAATTCTGTTTTAACTTGGAAATATTCAGTTTATTATTATATAAAAGATATAATAATACAGCTGAATTATGAATCTATGAACTGCGTGCTGAAAGCCCCGAGAAATTACAAAGGAAATTTAATTGCAATGTTAAAAATAAGTTCGTACAATTCATTATTGGTCACAAGTGTTCAAAAGGGTTGCGTCTTTGCGACACCCTTTCTTTCAGCAGGATTAATCTTAGTTGTATATTCGAGATTTAGCCGGCAGTAAGGAAGACACATAGGTGGGCTTAGAGGGGAGTGAGGCAAATTGTCTCAGATTCGTTCGCCCCTACCTCCCCTTGAGGGTTTTATTACATTCGTTAACGCATTTTAGATTAATGTGTAAATACTTTATATTTGCATGCTAATTTTGCCTGAATGATGAAGAATTGTTGTGGCCAGAAAGTGTAATTTTGAAATCATAACGTTAAAAATTGTGTTATTAATGAATATCTTAATTGAAATAAATTACATCTCTTCTAAACCATTGGAATTTTAGAAACTTTAGTAGTAAACTACTTCATTGTTAATAAAAGATAACTAAATGTATTTCAAATATACCTGGCAGCTAAAATTTGAACGATTGAATAATAAAAAATAAAACAGGCTGGAAAGAATTCACGTCCAAACCCTTTAAAATCTAAATTTAAAAAAACTATTATAATTCCGTTTTCAAATCGAGCTGGGGTTCCATTTTTAAAAGACGGGGCGGGGATACCACCCTACCTGCGAACGGCGATCCATCTAAATCCCCTCCTCGTTCTGTGACGTGCTACGTGGTACGCCATTATTGTTGCGCAAGAAGATCGAGAAAATAAAGCATTTTTAAATTTATTTTTTACGTACGTCTCTATACGCATCGGGTGAGAGAAACCAAACCATAAAACGTACAACATACAAGTAAAATTTAAAATGACGTTCATGACGATTTAATTAACAATTACAATATTATTTCATAAGTATTATATATGTAGGTTAAAGTTACTATCTACGCAAAAATCGTAAATTCAAATTCTCAACTTTACAGGAGAATGTTTTATTGTGTCAAAAGGACTAAAATGAACGTCACACCTACGATTCTCGGGTTATTGCAATTAAATTTGATATATTCCCATTATTTTTCTTGCTTTATTAGTGTATATATTTTATCATACTACTGAGTATAATAGACCGACTTAAAAAATAAAGTGTTTTATGACGTATTTCGCATTTTGATAGCTTATTTTACATTATATAGGAGTCGGTTATTAGAAAGATATAAGACGATATAGTACTAAAAGATAGTAGAAATGATGATTGATGAATGTTTATGATAGGTACAAATATATATTTTGCCTTTGCATAACAAAACCAACTATGGACTCTCTTTTATCCCCTTATGATTTATTTTGCGGCTTCCTCACACAGTTAGCAATTCTAATACAATTTGCCTGGCAAACAATATTAATATTAAAGGGTATAGAAGAGGTTTTTCCGGGATACTGGGACCGAGCCGCCCCGTCCCGGACATTTGTCAGGATTTTGGACGGGCAAAGCTAAATTTTGGACGGTATAAGCGCAGCGTAAATTTTACAAAACATGATGCGATGGAAAAAAAAAGATACGACAAAAAAGTTACATTTAATATTATTTATAATATTTCTCATACGTGCAGACAAAATTATTTTAAATACTGTTTGGTATCCCGATATTATTATAATTACTTAAAATCAATGCATGCTAAGTAATATATTGATTGTCGGATTAGTGGCGCTGGCTTGCGTTAACCATTTAATCCGAAATGTATGTGTCATGTGCCTGGTTAAAAAAAATACATTTGGCATTTGGCTGTCCATAATGATGTGCCCTAGAACAGTTATATTACTTACACATTTAATTTCTTATTAATATATCGTATAGATAACGACTGTCTGTATAAATTTATGCACTTTGTGTTATTTTGTTAATTGTAAATTCTAAGGTGAAATAAATAAAAATACTACTCACAACACATTTTTTTTTCAGTTTTGAGGTTTAAATCATTTGAAAGAGAAATAATTACAATGATTTTAGTAATAGTAGAGATCCTTGTGAAAGAGTTAGTCCAAGGTAGTACTGCTAACCTAACCTTACCTATTTTTGCCGCCAAGCAGTAATATGGGCAATTACTGCGTTTCGGTTTTGAAGAGTAAGGGTGCTGGTGAAATTAC